GCTTGCTCGACTTGAACCTGCCGGGCGATGAATGATCGAAGGAATCATCCGATCATAGCAGGGAACAGCAGGCGCGCCGAGTGAGCATGGAAGCTGTGACGGATGCAATTGCAGTGGCGAGCGCCGTTCGAGCTCTTAAATACAACCGCCAAGCAGGCTGGACATCGCCACTACAAACCAAGAGACTTAGTTGACTGCCTTAGACCTACAGCGAACAAGGGCGACAGGGGAGGATATAATGGACCATGTCCAGTCTTGCGCAATATATTCGATCATTGGCAGGTTTTCGCGCATATGGGTGCGAGAGAAACCGTCGTCCAACATCCCGGCGACCGTGGGGCGCTTCGTATAAACGTTTTTCAATGGTGCGTGGATTTGGATTTGGCCCTGCTGAGGGGCAGCCGGCCACCGCGTTCGCTTGCGCCCCTGAATCGCGAGGAAGCTTGCGCGTGGTGGTTGGCGGCGACGCTTGCCTTGCAGCCCGCGTTGCATTGCAATGCTGTGTTCGAATTTGTTTTGTCCTCGCCAAGGGCGCGCGCATGCTGCCGCGACTCGCGCGTGGACAGCGGCGCACTCGTGCGCTTCGGTAACGGTGCAGGCCCATGGCATCATTATTATGGAGCAGACGGCCCGCCAAAGCTATCAGAGACATCGCGGGCGGCGCGCGATCCAGGATCGCCCGCTGTCTTGAGGCATCCATGCCTATTGTTGGATTCGATGAGGATATGACAAAGTTTCAGGCTTTTCCCAGATAGCGGTTCGGGCGATAGACAATGATGGCGACCGCGAGAACATGGCGGCGTTGTAGAGCCGCCAGCCGTATCTGGCAGGGGCCGACCCCCACCGATCGAGGAGGCAACGGGCGAGGTTTTGGATGCGCGCATAATGGGGGGTTGGCGTGAAGAGCTCAAGGAACAGAGAGAGCTACAACTTGAAGAATTCGTCGAAATCCATGCTGGCCCCGCTCTTAATGCTGCGCCGGCGCGCTGGATGGGCGGCGAGTGCGTGCTGGTCTTTGCGATGTGCGACTGTTAGGATAACTTGCCTGCTGAGCCTGGAAACAGGCCAGACTGCGACTTAGACTTTTGCGCAGTGCCGATGTGCGCACGACGACAGCTACGCGGTGTTTACACCGCCATGGGGAATGTGCGGCTTTATGATTCTCCGCGGACGTATCGCAAGCTGTTTTTGTCAGAACAGCAATGGCGTTGTCTGGCCGTTGGGGCACCGCCCTTAGACGCATGCATGTTGCGGCAGGTCCCGGGCGTGTAGCGGCTGTTGATGAAGATGACCTTTTGACGAAGGCCGGGGTCTGCGCAGATAGTTTGAAGGCGTCGCAAGCCTTGTGCGCCGAATTGCGAATCTGACGCGATGGCGATTGCTACCGCGTGCGTTTGCTAGCAGACGCTGCCTCTACAAGCGACAAGCTTTTCTCGCTCTGTATATAAGTGAAAACCTGTGAAAAAAAAACCAAGCAGGGGCGAGATCGAGCGGGCGATCCGTCTCAGACTCGCGTTGAGGGACTCCGTGGACGTCGAGACCTTCGACGTCCACGGACGGGGCCTTTCTGGGGCGGCTCGACGAGTTGATCGGGGGTTTTTAGCAAGGACGGCAACGCGCGAGAAAGCATGAATCTTTGCGTCTCTAGATATAGATAAACTCTTCCGCCAGGGCCTCACCTGAATGGAACTTGCGGCATCCGGTGGAGAAAGGGCAGGTTAGCGCGCTTTGCGCGCCCTCCCGGATCGGCTGCTGTGTCTGGACATTGCCGGGATCGCAGATACCTGACGCAGCGGGGCGCTGTCCCCAGTGCTTGGTGCCTGGCGCGGGCGCCGAGGGTGGCCCGCGAGCATTCCCGCTCGAGCTCAGGGCGATCGCGCGCGGATTTGGATTGCGAGGCATTAAGTATGACGAAGAATGCGGGGTGTGTCCGAGACTGGTTGCAGGTCAAAGCCAAACGCGCTGACGATTTCAATTTGGCTGGAGAAGAGAGTCGCGTCGATAAAATTGGACATTCATATGGAACGCATAGGTTGAACGAGCGCGCGTCGACTGACTGCGCTGTGCGTTACTCCAGACATTCAAATGCCGATGTGACTATGCACCAAGACGAGTACGTCGAGCAACTGCGACGAATCCATCGCCCTGAGCTAACTGGACCTGCGACCGAGGGTAAACAAAGACCACATACACGGTTGCATACATGTTTGCTAGCATGCGGGGACCATCCACCGACGCATTGGTTGGACAGGTTTGGCTCAAGGTTTCCGTTGCCTCGCTCCAGCGGGTTCAGTTCGGCGGTTGGGCGCGGCGACAAGAAACCAATATTTTGCCCGAAGAAGGTAGGCTGCCCAGCCATGGCGCCGACGACGACGTAGATATCCACGGCGACTTTCGGTGCCGACGCTTCCTGGGCGATGCTGATTAAGGGGGGGTGGGGGGGGGCGGGGGGGCGGCCGCCTCGTTGGCGCATGCTGCCGGCCACGTCGACTTCAGGCGCGTCCGGGTTATTCGGCGGAAGCGCTCGCTGCGTCGCGTGGCCCAAGGATTGTTATCCGACAGCCGTCGCACTGCGCGAGCTCAAAATAGGAGCTGCCATGTTCTCATGATAATTCAAACGCGCGGTGCAACGACGTGGCCTCGGCATGAAGGCGCCCCTCACATCGATGCCGAATCTGCGTTCCGCGCCTCATCATTCCAGGGCCTGCTGGCGCCGGTTGAAAGTATCTTGCTTGGTCATTTCATTTCGATGCGACATTTGCTAGAGAGGAACATCTCTCATTGTGTTCGGCGGTGTGATGCCCGCGGCGCGAGTGCAGGTGGGCAGGCAAAAGGTCGCGTTGATCGCGAGTTATTTTTGCATCTAATGTCAGGCCATCATTCATTCAAGCATGATGTAAATACGCATGTTCCACGCCCTAGTTCTGAACGCGCGTGGCACCGAGCTTGCCCCCGCGCGGGGTCGCGGACTGCGACGCGCGACGCCTGGCGACAGGTGCTCCGCAGCGGTCGCCAAGCGTTAACTTCTTGATGCCTGGCGACAGGCGCCTGCCAGCAGGCCCTAACCATCAATATCTTGCGCTGCCTAGCGTGCACGCTTTGCCTGTTTAGGATGGCCTGCGGATCAGCGGTCGCTTGTCCTAACGCGCCGCTGACCAAGTCCATCAGCATCGTTGTGCATGTGCGCGCTTGGCAACGAGCTGTCCGCCCGCACTGGCAAACTACGCAGTAATGTTTAGGTAGTGATGTTTCGGAGGGGCGGCTGTTGGCCAATAAGCGGCTGCCCTCGGCGATGAGAGCCTTCCGCTCGCTTCTTGCGGCGATAGGTGGCTGATCTCATACATGTAGCATTCACTTGTCAGGTGTCGCCCTTGCGCAACAAGTGACGCGATGCGCTTTGTGTTCTGCCCTCGCGACTTTTGAAGGAGCTGCTTAGCTGCGTGGGCGAGCGGTGTCGCAGCAGGGGCGAGCGCATCCGCGGCCGTTTATGCTCAGATGTCGACATCCGGATATGGCCAGCCAGTGCGAATGTCATTGGAGTAGCGGGTATGGTATGTATACATTTAGATATACACATACATACATACATACATACATACGTACATACATACATACATACATACATACGTCGTCACATTACGGCGTGCCTCAGCCTTGAGACACCTTTTCGACCGTCGTTAAGGCAGCACAAGAAAACATACACCAACCTGGTAGACCCTATATTTGTGTTCGGTCGTGTCCGTGCGTGCATCAGCAGGGAATGTCATCGGCCGGCGATTGTGCCTTCGATGTGCAATCGACGCGTTGTAGGCTATACGGCGCCACATGTATGGTACAGTTTTTGTGTTGCAAGCCGCGCGGCCGCAATCTTGTTGTGCAGCAAGTTACCCGGCGGGAGCTATGTGTTGTGCGCCCACCGAGTTGTGCGGCCACGAGGCGCCCACAAACGGCCACAGGTGGGCACCAGGCGAATTCCTTGCGACACCACCCAGCGCGCGGGGCGCCTACAAGGCGCCCGCGGCCCCCCAACAAAAGTCCCAGCTGGCTTCGGCAGGCTACCTGGGTAACCCGACTAAGCGATTAAGGACCCCCCCCCCCCTCTCCGGTGAAAGGATAACGCACCCGGCACCCGGAAGCGTTATCCTGGCACCAGGAGGGGGTACACCAGCTTCTCTCAGCTTTCTCTTAGTTTTTCTCAGCTTTTTCTTAGCTTTTCTAAGCTTTTCCTTAGCTTTTGTCAGCTTTTCCTGATTCGTATTCGTATTCTTATTCTCATTACAATTCTAATTGGGATGCCACCCGAGGCGGGGCGCTGGAATTATTTATTTTCCTTCCATTTGCGCGGTGCTAGTAATATCGCTCGGCGACCCCCCCCCAAATAATTATTTAATTACGGCGCGGTGCTACTGATAACGCCGGGGGGTTCCTTAATTGCTTCTCCGGGTTAGTTTTGGGCGGCTTCAACGCACCAGCCCTGGGGCGCCGCCAACAGCGGCGCCAGGGTGTTGAGACCGCCTTGGATTACTCGGGGCGCCTGTGGAGGGCAGTTTGGGCTACTCAGGGGGCCTGGCGAGGGCAGCCAGGACTGCCTGCGGGGCTGTCCGTGTGCTCGAGGCGTTACCGACAGGCCGAGGAGGGGACGCCTCGACCCCCATTGCCCGTTCATCGCCGATAAAGAGGGCCTGGTGGGCCACTCCGCCCAGGAGCGTGGGGAGGGCTTCCGAGTAATCACACCGCTTCTCGGGAATGCCTGCCCCCCCTCAGTTCCCCCCTGGGCGCGCCTCCGAGCCACTGGTTTCGGGTCACAACTCGGGTCTGCGTTCGGGACGATCCAGGCACCCCTGGAAAACCTTCGACGAGGCGCAGTTCCTGAAGAGCATCCCCGGGGCTGGGAAACCGCCGAAAACCGACAACAATGCCCGAAGGCCTCGAGCCCCGAATCTCCCCCCTCGACGACCTCGCACGAACGACGGTGGCGGCGGCGGCGGCCACGGCTACAGGCGCCTCCGCGCTCTGCAGCGGCTGTGCCGCCGAGCTCCGCTCGGGCGCGCCGCCGCCCAGCGCCGGCCGAGCCCCCCTCGCAGCGGCGGCCGCCTGCGCCGCCGCCTTCGCGCTCGGCGCTGCCTCCGAGGGCGCGCGGCGGCGCGGCGGCGCGGGGAGGCTGACGGCGACGGCGGCGGCGGCGACGACGACGACCACGACGCCGCCGACGATCCAGATTTCCGACGATATGATTGTTGCAATTTTGGCGTTTCTCCAGGATTTCGGCCTCCGAAGCTCGTTATCGGGCCCGGGGACCATCAAAACGGGATCCTGGTCGACAAACTTGCCCCAGAGAGGGGGTCGGGACCCTTGGGGCCGCGCCTTGAACAATCATATTGGCGGATGTCAGGGGTCGTCGCCGACGACGACGAAGACTCAGAGGAGGAACAGATACCGATACCGCTGCTCGTCCTGGAGAGCCTCGTCGCCACGTTTGGATGATCCTGGAAATGCTGGCCAGAATGCGCTTCGGGACAGGTCCAGTGAGGAGCGGTAGCGGCACCACCACCACGACGAGTACAGATGCCATGGCTGTGGCCCTCGGGGCCATTTGAAGTTTGATCCCCAGTAGCTACGGCGTTCCAATAGATGTGGGGCACGCAGCGTGGTGCACTGCGAGGACTGCGACGGCAGCGAGGGCGTTTCGTGGAAGAAGCCCAGGTCGCAATGAAAACGGGTTTCGGCATCGCGTAGAGCGCGTGGGCACGGGCCAGTGCGCACGATGCGCGGTGGTGGGCACGGTCTGGTCAGGCGTCTGCCAGAGGAGGAGGATGTGGAGGAGGAAGAGAAGGACGAGGAGGAGGATGAGGAGGAGGAGGAGGAGGAGAACGCGTGCGTGCAACCAAACGGTCTGGACCACGCTGGCACTAGCACTGCAGGATGCTGAGCGCTGGGGAAAGCACCTTGGGGGCTTCTTGAGAGCCTCTTGGGGGCCTCTAGGGGCCTGTTGGGGCTTCTTGGGGTGCTCTGGGGATTTCCTGGGCCCCTTTCGGCGCGGAACGCTGGAATTGTCTGTTCGTGTTTTTTTCTCGTGGGTCCTGGTTGGGGCCGTCGAGGGGCATTTTTGGGCTCTCTTGGGCCGTCTGCGGGCCCTCGTGGGCCGTCTTGGGGCCCGTTTGGGGCCCTCCGAAATGCCTTTGCGGTCCTGAGGTGATCTTGGAGGCCTCGGGGCCTCTGGGGCTCTCTTCGAACGTCGGAAAGCCGAAAGGGCGAGACGGTTCAAACATCTGGACAACTTACAGAACATATGCTGGGTGTCTCCCAAGGCCCTCTTGAGAGGCCTCTTACAGGCTGCCTGGACCGTCTTGGAGGCCTGTTGTGCCGTCTTGGGGCCATCTTTGACGACCTGGGGCGATCTGTAGGTGTCTCGGGCCCCTCGTGGGTCCCACTTGATCTCGTCGTGGGGCCTTCCTGGGCCTCCTTGTGCGCCTCTTATGCGCCTCTTGGTGCCTTCTTGGGCCGTCTTGGGGCGGTCTTGGGGCGGTCTTGGAGGCCTCTTGGGCCCTCGTGGACCGTCGGGAAGTTGAGAAGGCGAGATGGCCGAGAACTTCAAAAAACGTTATGTGCCTCGTGAGGACCTCTTGGGAGGCCTCTCGGAAGCCTCTTGGGCCGTCTTGGCGACATGGCTAGATTTTTTCACTCGCTGACATGCTCGAGGAGGAGGGCGCAGGGAACGGGGACGACGGGGGCGACCACTGGCGGAGACGACGACTCGGACAGACAAGCCCCTCACACACGCCGACAGGGTCCGAACTCAATGGGATCAGGCCGAGGTGTGGTTTTCGGTCCCGATTCCGCGGTGCTTGGACGGCCCTCGGCTGCGCGAGGCTCGCCCGCTTGGTCTCGTTGCGCGCCATCGGCGAGGAGGCGATGGCGCCGGCCGCCGCGGCGGCGGCAAACGAGGCGATGCTCCCGCCGCTTTGGCTTCGCGGGGAGGAGGAGGTGATGATGGTAGTGGTGGTGATCGTGATGATGGATGATGATCATGGTTATGATGGTGGTGATGACGATGATGCTGCTGATGATGATAGTGATACTGGTGATGATGCTGCTGCTGATGATGATGATGACAATGATGATATACTGCTGTTGATGAGTGGTGAATGTTGATTAACGATGGTGATGGTGATGGTGATGATGATGATGATGGTTATGATTGTGATGTTGATGGTGGGTGACGGTTGGTGATTCATGATGGTGATGGTGATGACGATGATGATGGTGATGGGGATGAAGATGATGATGCTGATGATGATGATGATGCTGAGCATGATGATGATGATGATGATGATGATGATGATGATGATGATGATGATGATGACGACAAACGAGGGGGATGATGTTGGTGATGGTGGTGATGGTGTTGACGATAATGATGATGTATGGCGATGATGGTGCTGTTGCTGATGCTGTTGCTGGTGTTTGTGGCAGTGGTGGGTGTGGTGATGTTGATGCTGATAATGATGCTGATGCTGATGATGCTGTTGATGATGGTTGTTGTGGTGCTGATGATGACTATGATGCTGATGATGCTGATGATGCTGATGATGCTGATGATGATGCTGCTGCTGCTGATGATGGTGGTGATGATGATGGTGATGATGATGATGATGATGATGATGATGATGATGATGATGATGATATTGATGCGGCGGACTATGAGGATGAGGGTGATTTATGATGATGTATATGGCGATATATGCTGTGAGGATGCGACAGATGAATCGGTTTATGATGGTATGAGGATTGTCATAAGGGCGAGCATCATTTTAAAGGACAGGATCATGTGGAGGATAATCAAAGGATCAGCGGAGAGGGGACGGCAGTTCTTCTCCCCGGAGCGACCCCGACCCCGCGGGCGCTCCGTCCCCTCGTCATTTGGTGTTCGATCATGCAGTCCCTTGCCAGACGCAGCCGTCCAGCTGCCGCCAAGAAAGACACGGGAGACCGTCGAAGGTCGCCGAGGTACGCCAGAGACTGCCAAAGCCCGCCGAAGATTGCCGAAGGCGGATGGGTAAGGAACAACCTAGGCCTCCTGGAGGCGGTCCGTGTAGATTTGTGAGGTCGGTTAGCTGCCAAATAATTTCCAGATGTCTACAAGATGTTTGGAACGTGTTTTAGATATGTACAACGTATCATTGAAACATTTTTAGAAACATGGTTTAAACACTTTAAATTCAATGATAGGACTGTTAGGGTGTCCATTGTCGTGGCATCCACAAGTGTAGATGGGATCGGGATCGGATGACGCGCCGCTTCGCCGACGCATCGCCGATGCGGCTCGATGTTGAGCCTGATTTTCTTCACGCCGATGGCGCCGATGCATCGTCGACGTCGCCGATGCATCGCCGATGCATCGCCTACCAGCGATGCGGCGCGATCCTCCGACCCCATCTACTCGGACTCTACCTTGGAGGCCTCAAAACAATGTCGAACATGATCAGTCCGAACTTTGTGAAATGGGCCAAACTTTTGCCGGAGGGGGTCGATGCTCTTCAGGCACTTCCGTGGGCGTTCGCCTGGTGCTCCCCGTGCGTCTAGGCGCAACCGACGCTGAGAAGGGGCCTGTTTCCTTCTCAAATGCTTCTCAGGGGTAGCGTTCGGGGGGGAATAGGTCCAGGGGGCGGGCCTGCAGATGGGCCACCAAACCAGTGCCCGTCGAGGTCCAGTTGTTGAGGCAGTCTTTTCGGTTTGTGCGGAAACCCAAGCGATCGCCCGAGTAGCAGCGTCGTGATCCTTCTGTTGGTTGCCTGTCGAGGATGAAAGATTCGTATGGGTATCAACACCGTCATGATTCACCGAATGATGAAGGTGTGCCGCGTGACCTTGATCCTCATCGCGGGCGAGTTCTGCTGCGGGAGTTTCACCATTCGCGTGATGACGGATCTGCCGCGAGAAGATGGCCAGCACTGTGATGGAAACCAACCGCGTGATGACGGATTGTCTCGTGCAGATGTCCTGCCGCGAATGGTTCTACGACGGCTACGGTCTGTCGTGTGACCACCTGCGCGATCCACATTGATTGGTTGTCAATCGCGGGAACACATTTGCTAACGTAGATTGCCGTTCTCGATCATGGCTTACCACATGAGGACATTTTGCCGCAGAGCACGATCAGCCGTTGGACGACGATTGGCCGTGTGACAAGTACCGGCCGCGAATAGTTCAGCAGCTACGTGGTGACGAGCATCAGCGAACATACAACTATCTGGTTGTAGAAGACCATCTGTGACGGGGTGTGGTGCCGCGTGATGAGGTTCCGCATTGGGGCAACTCACGGCGTGACGATCGGTGGAGTGACGATGGGCGCGGCGATTTGCGACTCACATCATAGATGCTGCCGCGAGAAGTGAATATATGCCGAGAGGAGACCAATGTGCGAAAAGATACGGGCCGTTCGCGAGCTGTTCATCTACATCGTGTGCGTGATGATGGTCAGCCGCGAGAGGATGATCAACCGCGTGAAAGTGATAAGCCGCGAGAGCCTGCCGCGAGGGTATGACCAGTCTCAACACCATGATGATCATCCACGAAGAGACGACCAGTCGCGTGATGACGATTTTCAGAATTGGTGTGTTTTTTTTGCCGCGCGCGTATGATTCGCAGCGTGAGGAATCTCTACAGCCTCACCCGGATCCTCTGCGTGGGGAACAGCCGCGAGAATGTGATCAGTCGCGTGGGGGAGTTCTTCACCGCCAGCTTGATCCATCGCACTATGGGGATGGTGTTGATTACACAGCTCATGTTTAAGGATGCCGCGAGGTGTTTGTGGCCAGTATGGACACGACCGAATGGCACACCTAATCGGGGTAAGGTCGGACTGCGGTGTTTGATCTGCTCGGCGGTGTCGGGTGTTCCTGCACAGAGGTCCGTCCTGGGTGATCCACAGTCTCCTACGAGGGCTAGGGTTTGCCAGGGAAGCGTTGTTTCTGTGGCGCAGATGATTGTGCTCGAATGGTTTCGCATGTAGATGTGGCGTGGGTTCTTCGTGCGAGGCGTGAGGTGGTAGGGACGCCCCCCGGTTAGAACATGTCAGGTCAGTTGGGCAATTGCTGGAGGAGTCGCTCTCCGCTGGCTGTTTAAGCAGAGCGCTCCCCCGATCCAGTCCTTCTGGTTGGGGGGGGGTCGGGGAACACTGACAAAAACACATTGAACCCGTACCCCCCAACCCGAAATTCGGGTCAAATTCGGGTCTTCGGGTTGGGTTGGGGTGGTCCAGTACGTGGTCATGGTCCTCCTCCTCCTCCTCCTCCTCCTCCTCCTCCTCCTCCTCCTCCATGCCCTCCTCCTTCGTCTTCCTCCCTCCGTCCGTGCCTTCG